AGGATATTCATGTGCCCTCACTACAAAATGTATTACAGCCAATGGTATTCAAGAAGTGAGTGAGTTGTTATCAACCCAGATTGAAGCTGACACTCGCATGCTTCTACATGCAATGGACTTTGATAGCAGGATCAGTTCCAATAGCCTTAGAGGAAGACTGGTTGTGCAATCACCAGACACTGATGTGATGATGCTCCTAATTCACTACATGCCACAGTTGCAGGCTGTTAGTACAGTATGGACGGAGACAGGCAGGATCACTAGAACTCTAGATCTGCGGCGCATGATTCCAATTCACAAGAAAGCAGACAAAATCGGGTCACTTGCCTGTTCAGTAATGCCTGCAGTTCATTCTTTAACTGGCTGCGATACAGTTTCCTCATTCTTTGGTATTGGAAAAAAGACAGTGATACAGAGAATACTGAAACTTTCCAAAACAGAGCTAACTCATCTCCAGGCACTTAGTAAAGGCAATGAAGACTCAGCGGTGAATGCTTCTAGAAGATTTGTGGTTTCCCTCTAGGATCCAAAGAATAAATATAGTAGAGATAATCAGTCATCTCTTAACAGCAGCAGCACGTAGTGTATTTGTAGCAAAACTTCCTTCATGCGAAGCTGCATTCATTCAACATGTTAAACGTGCATCATGGCAGACAAAGACATGGACATCAGCACATCTGGCAAAGCCAATACTCCCTAGGCCTGCTGAACATGGCTGGATTATAGAGAATGATATCATTGTTCCTGTTTTCTTTGAGGGAGCTTCAGCATTGGACAAACTAAAGAACTATTTCTGTGGCTGCAGTGGGGCTACCAAATGCCTGAAAGAGCGACTTTGTCCTTGCTATCAAGATGGACTTGCTTGTTCCCAGGTGTACAACTGTGGGGGTGATGATGAGTGTGGCAACCCTAACAGTTCGGGTTAAGTAGACAATGCTTCAGATAATATATAATTGTAATATATAATTGTATATTTCTGACCAAGTTATTTTTTCAAATATTTATTTAAGCAATAAATGAATACAAGGAAAACTGTCTATCCTGATTTACCTTCTGAGGAATCGTTTAAACTAGAAAAAAAAAAATGTATAACAAGACGTGCTAAATAAAAGATGCTCAATGCCTTTATATTTCAGAAAACAAATAGTGGATAATCATGTGACTATATGCAAATTAGGTAGCAATTTTTACACGAAATGTTCTAAGAGTGGGTCATATATATCGGTAGTGTGTGTAAATAATCTGCTAATCATTACTCAACGGGGTGCAAATCAGCACAAAATGGCGGCTATATTGATGACATCATTTCAGTATGTTCCTAAGGAAAAATTTTTGGTAATTTTGGTTTCTGGTGTCTATTTTAAGAACAGATATTGGCCATAATCTGCAGGCCTACTATGGCCTTAATTTAAACGAGAGGAGTCATCATCTGCGCATGCGGTAAATGGCCATAGCGTGGCAATGTTTACAAACAAGCCTCTACCCATGAGCCTTTGTGTTTTTAGTGTGTGTTGTCATCATCACTTGAAACTCAATTCCCATTTATATGCGATGACGACTGCTTGGCTTTAATAATCTCATTTTGTTTACAGATTCTAACTTTTGAAGAGATTGATGTTGAGATGCCTTCATATCTGTCTTCCAATCACTCAATATTGGTGTATTCAGCTTTCCAACCAACCATTGATGGTACCTTATATAGTAAAACTACTGTACCAATACACCAGCGTTATCAAGCAATATCAGACAGACCAGATATCTACTATGTTACAGCAATTCTACCCAAACCACATTTCTACTTATACTGTGCAGGTAGGCAATAGTATGCTGTTATGGTACACACTCTGACAGTATCAACACACATTGTTACATTTCAGAAAGCTTTATTGAAATGAAACTTTGAATATAAGTTTAAATATAACTACCAAACTTTTAAATATACTAATGCTCAGTAACAGCAACACACAAACTATTTGGTCACACAGGCATATAAATTGTTTATTTAATATAGTCAGAAGATATCAATAAAAAAAAAACGTTGCTGGTTTAGATTTAATACATTTATGACAAATACTTTAGCAATGTATGTACACTCTCATCATTCATTCCTGACCACACCTAAATTTGTTACCATAAAGAACAAGATGATGAAAAGAGGAGCATAGTTTCTGTCCGTCCAGTTTCCTTTACATCTCCAGCATTTTCTCAGAAATTCTACAGCAGAAATCAATGAACAATATGCACATATTTTTTTTTTTTCAGGTTTGAAAATCCTAAGTGGGTCTTTTTCATGATTTTCATCCAAAATTACCTCTCTCAACAACACTGAGAGAACATATGAGCATGCTCAGAATAAATAATTAGGTTAGAGTAATGCTCAGGTTTTCAGTGATGTCATGACCTTGATCTGAATCAGTGACAGAAATGGACCACAGTCTGGTTTTTGTTTGGTTTTATGAAAAATTAACCCTGAAATCTTGAAAAAAGTGGTCAGAAATGTTGTGCTATATTATATCTTTAAACTGTAAAAATTGCATTCCATTATAAAGAGCCATCACTGAAATACCTGATCACAGGGTTGAAGATCAGTGAAAACACTTTGCAGTTACTTTTTATAAATCTTGTCTGGCACATTGACACATGTGGTCTAAATATAGTTTCAGTTGTCAGCATCTACATGGATAAATGGGTCGTACCATTACGAATCTCAGTGAAAACTGTAAAGAGAGTCAGGGCTACACTTTGATGGGAATTATAGTGGTGATAATGAAACAAACCAAGGTCATGGTAATATACAAAGACCTGATTTAACAAAGAAGTCAAGTTGTTATTAAAGGTACATCAAGGTTTACCTAGTTTTATGAATGCAGAAATTATACATGTACATCAATTTGTTTCACGATCTGATTCAAGATGGCCGAATGGCGGCCATTTTTGTTCTAAAAATAATCAAAATCAAGCATTTCTCAGCTGTTTACAGATGGATTTTGTTCAAACTTGGTATATACGTTATAGGACCTTGATACACATCATTTTGTTTTCAGATAAGATCCTAAATGGCTGACTGGCGGCCATTTTGTTTTAATGAATGTGGTTCTAGTGCCATATCTCTGACTTGCTGTGACTGATTATGTTCAAATTTTAAATATTCATTATACATTATGTCATAGATAGACAGATATATCGGTTTGACGATCCTATTAAAAATGGCCGAATGGTGGCCATTTTTGTGCTGAAAAATCATCAAACATCAAGCATTTCTGGCACTTATGGATGGATTTTGTTCAAACTTGGTACAATGTACATCCAAATGTACCTACAACTGGGTATCAAGTATTAAACGTCAACTCAAATTATTAAACAGGAGTGACGTATGGAATAAAAGCAGTGATAACCATGACAATCTAATCCTTAGATTTAAAGAAAAATTGCAACTGCTATATCAAAAAAATGTCAAGGAATCACTACATGATGATAACAAAGGCGGAAACCACAAAAATAAATTACAAACCTTTAGAGAAATAAAACAAGATTTCACCTTTGAAAATTATCTGAAAACTAATAATCAAAACACAGGT